CGAAGAAAGAAGCGAATTTGGAGGAGCGCGTAATCGGAATTTACGAGTGTGTCTCAAAGCGAGCGGCAGTCGTTCATTGATCAGCGCCATCGGTAAGTGATGACAATATGGTCAATCTCAGTTCGCAGCCGGCACACCACCTAGACATGGTGATCGGGCTTGGGTACTGCAATGATCCTGTGGGCTACACTGGCTGGAACCTTGTTCCACAACGCGCAACCTTGCCAGGAAGTCCAAAGGAAAGCAGCCGAACCAAGAGCAGTGAGACCCCGTACTGCGAGTAATCGTGCTACGAGGTGAGAAAAAATCGTTCAGCGGTAACACCCTTTCGGTGCTTAACTCCCATGCCACCAGAAGAGGGCTGGGATACTGTCAGGTTGCCCAAGCATAAACGGGGAAGTCGAGAATTAGAGGCCGGGTTCAAACCACGGACGTTCCGGTCAGCAGACTCGCGCTGTAACCACTGAGGTCTCTCGCCCCCCCTCCCCGCTACGACGGGGTCGCACTATTTTCTGCGATAGATGTGTGAAGGCAGTAGAGTGTTTCCCTGAGACAACCAGCGTATCCATATTCATGGAGGCAACGATGCTGACTTCCTCCGCGGAAGGTCGGGTTAAAAAGTCGCCCTTGAAACCTCACACTCCGATTAACCAACAGTTGACCGTGACCACCGGCACATTAGTCAATACAGTGAAAATACTCCTAAAACCAGATGGTCGGGTGCTATTCAGCCGCTGCTGCGCGCAGGCGCATCAGGAGTGGTGCAGTAAGGCCCTACTCCCTGCTCCCCTCGAGTTAGGCCAACCCCCTTTTGCCCAACAGGTCGGACTATTGAGTCGTCGGCTCAGGGCAAGGACCCCAAAGAATACCCTACTGTCCGCTGCCTTGTGGGTCAGACTTTTGAGTCAAAGGATCAAGACGAGATACCTCCGGCAAACCTAATTCTTCGGTCTGGGGAACCTGGAAGTACCATTTTCCCCCATTGTTTTTTGTCCGCCGATATCCTTCTCCAATTGGTTCCTTCCACACGAGCAAACGTTGAGCTGTCGGTTATCTGGCCGATATGCCGTATGCAACCTCCGTGCTCTACGTCAAATTGGTAAACAGGTAATGCTCGTCGAGACATACTCCCTTGAAGTTGATGCATGCTGTGTCACTGAAACACGCATATAAGACCCAAGCATAATCATGCGCCTCAAAACGCCAAGGACGGACTCAGATCTCTCACATCTCGCTCTCTGTGTGTTCGGTAATCTAGGAGCGATGACTCAGTATATGGCGTGAGTGTTGCATTCTGGACTGGATAACAGGTAAAAGTAGTCTTCGCGCCGTTCGGTTATCCAGCTCAATCAAGCTCAGTGCCTCTTGATAAGAAATCGGTGCCTGTTTGTAGTACGTATGCCCCATAGGACCACTTCCGACACTGAGAAGGATGCTTTTTATCGACAATTATCCAGGATCATTTGTGTAGCAAGAAGCACTGACACTTATCCTTGTGGGCGACATGACGCCCATATCGGTCATCTGATCTCCCTGGACTCATATCTAGCTGGTCGATTTAGAGTCAGTGCTCACTGTAGGACAACTGCGAGTGACTCCTCCAGCGAGATGACTTAGTGGTTAGGGCCCAAATTTGCTGATCGGAATACCCGTGATTCGAACACGACCTCTGCATCTCGACTTCTGTCTAGGCTTGGGAAACCTAGCAGTATCCCAGCCCGCGTGTTTCCCTTGGGTGACATGGCAACTTGGCGTCGAGCTGAACCATTATTATTATTAATATTATTATTACTCCAGCTGTATACCGACGAACAACTGTTTCTGGCCAATATGAACTTTCTACAGAAGTGCTGGCACCAGATAATCAGGTGACACCCAGGGGTAAAAGAGTCACGGGCGCAATTAACTTACGTGAATATCAGCCATAGGTGAGAAGTCACAATTCAAGACTACCGTTCCCTCTGGGGCACAACTTGATTCCAATCACGCCATGTGAGCACTCCCGACAATTTGCTTCCCTTCAGTCCGTCACAAGTCAGCCAAGCATGCATGCCAACCTACCATCCCTGAAGAACTACCGCAACACAGCAGTGTCGATCTGAGCGAGCTCAGCTACTCTATACAGGAAAAGAACATTATACTGGTAGCGGAAGCGTGGATGAAGCATGGCAAAATACTAAAAGAGCCATGCTAGTAGCGTTTGGTGCTGTCCATCTAACCTATCCAACAGGATCAAATCATCATTGGATATCACCGAGCTCACTTACTGATGCCATAAAATCCTTAACAGCAGGCAACCAGTACGACGGCGGAGGCATTTTCCCCAAAGGCTAAAATAGTGAAGAGCCTAAGGAAAGACCGAGAGCTCTGGTTGATAGCAAATGCTCGGGATATAGCTGAAACAGCCGTGCCCTCTGCTGACTGAGACGATCGACTAGCCACAGGAAAGCAGCAATCAGTGAAATAATAAGCGAAAAAGGTGGTTTGCTAATTCACTCATAAGCGCATCTACTGGAAAGATTGACCGAGCACTTCGAGAAACAGTTTAGCTGGCTTTCTGCAACAAAGCTTCTTAATAAGAGGAATCACAACCTCTGGGGATTGTAGATACGCGTGATTGGAATGTAGACCCTAATCACTCGTCAGAAGAAATAAAATCTGCGGTGAAACCCGAGAAGGCACCAAGACCGGACTGTATGGATCCAGCCCTCTTCAAAGGAGGTAGAGAACTCCTGGTGACCCATCTGACAAAGCTTACAGGTGCTATATGGGACGAAGAGAAGGTGCCTGAAGAATGGGACATGTTGACAGTTACCCATATCCTCAAAAAGGATACGCGGACGCTGTGTGAAAACCACCGTGGCATGAACCTGTTCGCTGTGGCATCGAAGGTGCTCTCTGGTATTATCCTTCGAAGGTTGACTGAACACAGGGAGAGGCAGATCCGCAAAGACCAAGCTAGTTCCCGTCCGGCAAGAGGATGCATCAATTATATCTTTACCCTCCGACAAATTCTGGAACAGCGACACTGCTTCCAGCAACCAACAATGGTTGCGTTTGTCGACCGGATAGCTGCCTTTGACACTGTGGACCGTCAGGCACTATGGCAGTATCTGTAGGGCGTTCAGCTGTAGCAATCTTCCGGTGCCTAGCTGCCATGCCACCCGAAGGAAACACGAGGGCTGGGATACTGCCAGGTTGCCCAAATCTAGACAGAGGAAGTCGAGAGGCCAAGGTGGGATTTGAACCACGGACCTTCCGGTCAGTAAATTCGCGCTCTTACCACTTGGGCCATCTCGCCCCGCAGTGCCTGTGGAGCAGAGGTGTCCCCCGTAAATTCTTGACCCTTCATAAGGCACTGTACGCCAACTCACACGGGCGTGTGACGGTCTGGGGGAAGCTCTCTTCTGAGCTCACCACATCAAGTGGTGTCAGACAGGGCGGTCCTCTTTCAACTTTCCTTTTCAACATCGTAATTGATACGATCATGGAAGACTCACTACGAGCCTCCAATGCCTGTGGAGTTGAAGCGCTCCCGGTCCGTTGGCTCACAAATATCGAGCACGCAGACGACAGCTCTTCTTGGATCTGACGCCGTCGTAATGCGAGCGATTTCGGATAAGCTAAATAATTCTGCCTCACGGTTTGGTACGCGTCTCTTACCTTTCGCAAACTGGGTGAGCTCGAACCCTAGGGTCGTGCTTGCGGGCGAGCCAACTGAGGTAGTAGACAACTTTGTTCACCTGGGCAGCTTTATCGTTCCCGATTGTTCAGCCAAAAACTATATCTCCTTTCAGATTGGGAAGTCCAGAGTAACTTGTCAACCCGCAATACTTGTGGCGTAGGTGTGACAGCTTATCTGTCAAGGATCGCGTTTACAATGCTGCGGCATGCCCCATATTATTATAGATCCAGAAACCTAGCCCTTGCGCTCCGTGGACTTCAAGCAACTTTCACTTCCCGACCATCGATGGCTTAGATTCGTTTAATCTCACTGTTGCAGTTCCCTTTGTCCTGTTCCAATTAGATACTTTTGAAAACGTCATAGGTTCTGTGAATTTTGGCACCTTTACCCGAATCAAACAGTATTGTAGCAGGAATTCAAGCATTAGAGATTATCAGTTTAATGGCACCCTTTAAGAAATGTGTGCATCGTTGTGTAAGACTTCTAAGGCTATTCGCCACCATTCTTGTGGAATCATGTTTGCAGTAATAAAAGTTTTGATCTCCTCGGCTGACCGTCCCTAACTTCTGAACCGATAAAACGTCTTTCACCATTCAACTTAAATAGTAATGAGCTTACAACTGGTTGCACATTAATTTGGTATTCTCGGGAAACTCAACCGAATCCCGGTCGAGTCTCTCGTTTACCTTGTTCCACAGTTGAATGTGATGCAGAAAGGCTGCTTGTGTTCCACTTGGTGCGATATTCTGGATACCACAGTATTTTTTAAAAATGAAACTCCTCACAAGGTTGTTGGAAACTCGTAGGCAGGCTACGATCAGTTTCGCCCTTCTTGGGGTGTGAAATTTCCACATCAGTATGGTATTCACAGGATACTCAGCTGAATCTCTTGTTTCTCGCATACCTTTTCCAAGAACGTGCACTGTGATATCTCGAATGTTGTGCCAACTGAAGCATGAGACGAACTCTGTGGGGCACATTCAGTTGAGGAATATCGTAGACTAGACATTCAGCTAGGATTCCATTGGGTTTTCTGTGAGAACCACACTCGTGTGCAACTGAGTGTGGTTCGCAAATTTGGATTAAAGTAAAACATCATTTTGAAGGAAATTCGGAGATCGCGTCCACCTACCACTTCGCGTTCTCAGTTAGACCTCTCTTCTGCTATTTCCGTGGCCTTTACAGTAAAAGCTCTTGGGCGGAATAACCCGACAAACTTCTCTTTCGCACACCATAGATACTTCAGCGGTTGACGTTTGCTGCACTTTTGAAGCACAGGTTACTGATACACTGGTTGGGCCTTACGGTACCTTCAATGTTTATAATGCGAACTGTAAGTAATTCCGAAGCTGGTCTGATGGGTATGTGGGTGCAGCTTTAAGTTTGTCATCTATCTTACGCGACTTGATACCCGAATACAGTCGAATCTGTGCTGTCCGACTGCCTTTCGCAAAAACCCTTACTGGTTGAAATACCAATCAGTCCCCACCAATGCATCAACCAGTTGTAACGCCGATTCAATAAAAGATACGTTCTATCGCCACAAATAATCTAGATATGTTATAGTAACAGGAGACTTCTATGCACTATTAGGGTCGTGAGGTTCGGGCAAGTGAAGACACTGGGATTGCGCAATCAGGTTTCGGGCACGCCGTATATATGCGTGCTGGGACCTTCCGTAGCACGAGCCAAGGTTACCTGTTATCCTATCTGTCTGAGCGTTCGAAAGTTGGTGGTTACCAGGGTGAAGGTGCCCTGAGAATGTCCTGATTGTAAGAGAACCGAGAGAATAAGGTTAAGAATAAAAAAATCCGTGGGAATTTGTTCATTCTACTATCCTAAGAAGTTTGTATTTCTCGAATCATAATGTCGTGATTTTGAGCGGATGTAACAATTCCTGGTTAATCGGGGAGAACAGGTGATCCCACCGGAAGCCTCGTCCACAGAACGGGGAGACAGTGCTTGGTTCGCAGTCCATTGAGTCAGTCATCACAAAAGTAGTTTATGTGCTATTGGGATGTCGGAAAATCATCCGGTGCATCCCGTCCGGTGACCACCAAGCATATCACGTCAGAGGTGGGCGTTAGATTCGCTAAAACCCTTCCGCTTTCCTCCGACTTAGGCATCTTTGGAGCTGGCGTGACAATAGCTTGTCACTGAAAAAAGGGGTCTACAACGCCACAGTGTGCCCAGTGTTGCTTTACCTTTGCGATAGTAGGCCACTGTACGTTGAGTTGACGCTGCTTTTGTTTGGTACTCTATAGCTTCAAAGAATGGTAGGTGTGCAATGGGCACATCGGATTAGCAGTGTTGGAGTACGACGAATAGTTTTGAATGAAAAATCATCTGCTTTTCCAATCGACGAGCTGCATCAACTAGGCAGGCTGGGCAACGTGTTTCCATACCGGTTGGTCGATTTGCTCGCCGCGTTCCGTTTCCTTAGGCAGATAACACGTAAGCAACGCTTGACATGGGTATGGAGCTCGAAATGTATAGAAAAGGTCTTCGCTGCACTGGTGCGTGTCGTCTGCGAGGTTCGGGTATGGGGGTACTCACCGACAGTGTGATGTCATACAACCACTGATGGTATTGCATATGTTCACTTGTATCCAGTCATCAACCAGATGTTCTTTCATTTTGTATTCTATTTGTATTCCTATATTGTCTTACAGTATCCCCATACACAATCGTTATCATAAATTGCGGCGGCTCGAACCACCTTACACACGTTGCTCACGGCTATCAAACTCAACTGGAGTAAACTTTTGTTAACTTTTATCCGTAACACCATCTCTAAGTGTGCTCTTCAAGGGACGGTAGATCTGGATGGCGAGATCACATCTGAAGAAAGATTGGTAGACGTAGACTATGGGGACAAATATCATACGTCCTCAAGAAATGCTCTATATGGCATGGCGAAAGCGATCTGTTTTGGCCTGCTGTTTGTACCTTCAAAGTTTCAGGTCTTACTTTAGGATGTCCCTCTCACTTGTTCTGCTTTGGGTTACTTGAGTTTCTTGATATGTTTACCCGTCGTTAACTGTGATAGATGAAGTCAGTGCACGTATCCTTAAGGCACGAGCCGTATTTGCCAACCTGCGCTGCGTTTGGTGTCGTAAGTTAATGTGACACGTCAAAGAATAGTGTCTGAAAAAGCTGAGTTGGAACTTGGTCTCTCCGATCTGCATGTCTCAAACGGGTCCAGATAATTGATCTTTCAAATCCCCGAAGTACTGCAAGTTTTAACTGAGTGCAGACTGTGCACAAACCAGTTAGTAAGCTAGTACCAGTCAATGAGTTAGATCCCTCACATTAGCCGACTAAGCTTGTCAGGTATAGGTGGTTTTGAACATGTTTACATATTCTCGACCATCCTCTACCGAATAAGGCATCGTTTTCCACTCTGAATCCTTTTTGGCAAACTTTTCACACAGGCAGACCGTGACATGACAAGGCAAAATGACAGGGGCTACAGCCAGGGTGAATGAGCTCTCTGGGATCTTCGCACCTTCTTTGGATCTTCCTTTCGCCTGGTTTGCACGTAAGCGATCCAAGTGCCGAGCTCGCTATGACTTAGCCGGATTCCCCAGCTAACGTTACCTGCTGAGCTTTTGCTGGATGAGGTTCGCACATGTGGTTGAGTAGTTCCCGTTGATTCTATCCTGCTCCACCAGTATACCAGCTTTAAATGGTTTCGGAAGGCGTAGGCACCTTGTTCTTGACCGAAGTGGCTTTTTATAATGACTCCTAAGCCATCTCCTTCCTTTTCATTCTTTACTGTGGCCTTCTTCTATAGTCTTACAGTAGTTAGGCATCAGTCTTCATCATCATCATCATTGTCAGCTGTAATAACCGCGTACTCGTCGTACTGTGGTTGTAGCTGCCGCAGTTTCGTTCACCGATGTTTTGCGGGGGGGGATAGATACGGTT